ACAAAGCAAGGTTTGTCTTTGGAAATTTCCATCCCTTCATTCCCTGTTTCTAAATCATTGTCTCTTGTAATGGCCTCCCCACTTCCTAACATGCTTCACCCAGTCCTGACTTTGAAGGGTACCCCAGGCTATGGACCTGTAGTTCCCAAACTTGACTCCATGTTGGAGTCGTTGGGTGATCTTTTAAATATTCGTCTGCCCTGGCTGTACCATCTGATCAGTTACATCAGAATCTTGGAGGGGGTTATAGACATCAGCAATTTTTTAAACCCCCCGAGATAATTTCAATGTGCAGCTAGGATTGAGAACAGCTGTTCTGGACCAGAGCTTCTCCAAGCGTGCTCTGAATCATGGACTCTCCTAGGGTATTTGTGGAAAATGCAGACTCCTGGGCCCATCACCTCTATGGGCACTGGATCTTGTGGTGAGATCTGGGAGATCTGCAGTTTAACAAGCTCCCCAGGGGATTCTTAAGTGCCCCAGTGTCTGAGGACCACTACTAAACCTTTCACTAGACTATTTGTTTCTCAAGGTATGGCGGGTCTTGCTCCCCACCAGCCATACTAGTCTTTCAGTTCCTCAAAGACAACCACTGAACCTTTGTACATTGTATTTTCTCACTTGGAAGGTTCTTTCCTCTCTCTCTTTGCAATTAGAAAGTTGGTGAAGAGGGACACCTGGGTGGCTCAGTAGCTTGAGCGGCCGACTTCAGCTCAGGTTACGATCTCATGGTTTCATGAGTTCGAGCTCTGTGTCAGATTTGCTGATGTCAGCCTGTCAGCACAGATCCTTTGTACCCCCCGTCACTTGCACTATCCCCCCCAAAAAATATTTTTAAAAAATTGTTGAAGATAACACTGATGAACTATATTCCCCCAGAAAGTCATTTCAAAGTGCATGTTTTGAGGGAGAAACGAGTAGACTCTGGAGGGCCAAGATCCCAGCCCTTGGGACAGTTTGGTTTTTACTACATTATCTGCTGTCACTGGAAACCATAGAGAGATTGCTCCAGAGACAGTGAGAGAAAATCCAGTAGGCTTGATGTAGGTGGGGAAGGAACAGGAGGGAAGACCAGTGTTATGGTGCCAGGTTGGATGTATTAAAATGGGAGCCCTAGGCATTCAGTGAGAGAAGGCTGTGCCAAGAGACACATTAAAGGTAACCAGGGGGACCAGGACATAAAGCTTGGGCCTGTGACTGGGAATGGGTGCCACAGGGAAGAGAGGGGTCAATGGAGAGAGGAACAGCAAAGGTCAAGGCTGAGTGGTGGTGGATGCACCCAAATAAAGGGCAAAACCACTCTATCCACCTTGAAAAATTATTGATGATGGGAAAATATGAGTGGAAAGTTATTTTAATCTCTCTCTATATATTGTAATTGGGAAAGTATAATTTAATTGAAAGCTGATTAAATCAACTACCTATCAACTGTATATCTTTTAAGAAAGCTTCCATTCTTTAGGACAGTGTTTCTCAAGCTTTAATGTGCACATGAATTAACTGGGAATCTTATTAAAATGCAGATTCTGCTTTAATAGGTCTATGGCAAGGGCTGAGATTATACATTTCTAACCAGCTTCTGGTGCCCCTGGCCTGAACACTTCCCTTTGGGCAAGGAAGTTTGAATATTTGGGACTCATCATTGGGCTCTTGGGATAGCCAAGTCCAGAGAAGCCTACTGAATTATCAACTTTTATGCTACATTACTTTCTAGTTGAATATTTGCACGCGTTCTAATCCTCTAAAAGTTCCTATTCCAAAAATGATACATGATAGCTCTCTTTTAACCAAAATACCCATTTAAGTGGAAATCCCCAATTTTGACATACCAGATAACAAAATTTACTGCCATTTTGTTGACCTGCCCCCTGAATTGTTTAATTTTTTTCTTTTTCGTAATGTTTATTTTTGAGAGAGAGAGTGCAAGATGGGATGAGGCAGAGGGAGAAGGAAACACAGAATCTGAAACAGGCTCCAGGCTCTGAGCTGTCAGCTGTCAGCACAGATTTGCTTCAGGGCTTGAACCCACAAACTGCGAGATCATGACCTGAGTTGGAGTCAGTCATTTAAGCCACTGAGCCACCCAGGTGCCCCATGAATTGTTAATGTTGAGATAGTGGGTATTGACTAGATTATCTATGCTTTTGTGCCTGACACAGATGGATTATTAAATATATACAGATTTAGACATGAGGAAACATTTACACAATTTTCTTTTTTAACTTTCTCTTTTTGGTCATTCATGCACTGACTCATTTGGTAAATCTTTCTTTCAGAAATGGGGAGACAGGGCACTGAGTAAAGTATAGTCTTTGGCAGTTCCCTTCATTACTGGAATTATATTAGGAAACTATCAAAGTAACTAGATTTCACAAGAGGATCAATCAATGCTAACTTGTCATGAGCATCACCTCTGGTTTCTGCATCATCAGGCTGGCACGGATGTGCTGGTCAAGTTCACCAAGAATCCTGCCAGCATTTAATCCAAGTGTAGTGTACACTGGGTAGATGGAGAACAAAAGTCCATAATGTCTCTGCAGCTGCCGTGTGACAACAGGTACAGTAACAGTAAAGCAGGTTGGAAAGGAAGCCATCCAGGGACACTGGGAGCACATGGAAATGTGTCTTGTGCATCAAGCATCGGGCTGAGATGGGCTGGTGAAGGGTGGGCTGAGCCCATGTAGCTTTTCCAATCAAGACCACAGCTGTACTTCAGGAACAGACTAGACTGTGTGCATATATGTAGGTAGATTAAAACACTCAGTTGGCTGAGACTTTAAAAGTTCATCTAGTCCAACACATTGCATCAGAAAGTCTCGCATAATTTCCACGCACACAGGAACCCCTTCCACTATGAAACCTCAGCATACATGTTGGCTTTACCACGTTCCCCGCAATGACCTGCTCTGGCATCTCCCATGGTCAGGAAACATTTGTTTATGTTTAATATGAATCAATTTTTAAAATGTTACTGAGCTCTTACTAAAAATCTGGAAAATGCTTGGCTCTGTAGGGAACCTTGGCATGTGTAAAGCATGGTTCCTGCCTTCCATTCACTGAAGGTCAGCTCTTCTCCCAATTTTAGTAATGCTTCATCCAGAATTAATTTTCCCCCAAGCTCCCATACTTTATTTACAAATTTGTTGTAGTGTTTATCACATTATGCTTTTTATTACCTTTTGTGTGTCCATGTGTACACATATTATCTCCTTGCTGGATCAATATGCTTTTTTTTCCAAGTAGGCTCCATGCCCAATGTGGGACTTGAACTCATGACCCTGAGATCAAGAGATGCATGCTCTTGGGACAATGTGCTTCTTTAGGTATAAAATGGAGAAGTTGAGATCAGCTTGAGGATCCGTTTTGTCAAACAATGTGAAGGAACTTAAGAGAGGATCTCTGTTTTACTATCCAATGTTAATGCCTTTGATAGAGCAGAAACTTGATAAATTCCTGTCAAATTAGAATGAACATTCTGTGCACAAGAAGTAGATATAATATTATTCACTGTGGCCTTATTTGCTGAGGCAAACAATTAAGCAGCCTAAATATCTATTTATAAGCTGCTGGTTAAATGTAGTTTGGGACACCTTACATAATAAAATACCCTAATGAAAGGATGGAGGCAGTCTATGCATACCAATATGGAACAATCTCTAAGATATGGTGTTAAGTAAAAAAAAAAAAAAAAAAAAAAAGTGAGATGCAAAATGATGGGTATGCTAATATTTGTAATTTTTGTAATTTTTTTAAAAAGGCTCGCAAAACTGGCTCCAGTGAGGTGATATGAACTCCCTTCAAAGCACACCTCTAGACACAGAGGTGGGAAACTGGGCCAATTTCCCACTGTAAATCCTCTGGTACAATTTTAATTTCTGATGCCATATTTGGATTGACTATTTAAAATGTAACAAACTTTGAAACTTAGAAAAATTATCATGATTAGATTGCTGCATTCTCTTAGCCTTCTCTTCTCCAAGAGCCTTAGTTTTCCTTCCTTGAGAATACCTATTCCGCTCTCCCGTACCTGGCCAGACTTTGTTAGGCAAGGTATCGATGCACCTTGTACAAAAAGGAACATTTCTTAACTGTAGCCTCTTGATTATATAGAGAAGGTGGCTACCTCCTAATTGTGCAAGCTGCAGGAATATTCAGGCGAGGAAAGAGCCACTTCCAGAAAGAAGCTGTTGGTGAAACTGGGACTCACAGCTTCCAGCTTCCCAGCAGCTGTGTGAGTGTGACAGTCGTCTGCTGGCCGTGCCAAATAGGGGCGTCTCCCTCACAGTGGTCCACCTGAGTGGATCTGGGCTTCAGTGAAATTCCTCAGCAGTCTCCCATGCTCCTTCCTGTCCTGCACCCCGCCGGCCGAAGTGAGGACAGCCAGGCTAGAGAGGGGACATCGGATATGGGCAGCCAAAAAGATTCCTTCTTGGGTCATTCTAGAAGCCATCTTGCACCAATCTCCACATCTGTTTTTTTTCACGACTGGGTTCAGTGTGTCTAACTCCAAGTGACTCTTCAGTTTTTAGCTAAAATATTTCTTCTAAGGCTGTTTCCTCTGTTATGACTTATCACTTATCACAACCGTCAGTTTATTCAACCTGTCTTTCTTAATCTGCTGAGCCCAATGCCTGTCTTTTTTTTAAAAAAATTTTTATAGTTTATTTTTCAGACAGAGAGAGATAGAGCATGAATGGGGGAGGGGCAGAGAGAGGGAGACACAGAATCTGAGGCAGGCTCCAATCTCTGGGCTGTCAGCAGAAGCTGATGCGGGGTTTGAACCCACGAACTGTGAGATCTGACCTGAGCTGAAGTCAGATGCTTAACCGACTGAGCCACCCAGGCGCCCCCACAATGCCTGTCTTAGTTAGCGGCATATTTCTAATATCTTGCACAATGCCTACCACATCTATTAGGTACTTGAATGCATGCTGGCTGAATGAATTAATTAAGTTATACTCCATGCTCACAAAACTTTCAAAAGGAAACATCCAGAGACATCTAATAAAAGGAACATTTTATTTGGAGAGAACTTGATCATTATTTTATCTTCATTTTCCATTAAGGCAGTAACAATCTTCCTGGTGGCAGGTGGGGGAGAATCATCTGAGGCTACATTAAGTTCAGTCAAAGATAAAGCCAACCACTTTGTGTTCAGATGCAGCAGAAATAGAGATTATGGGCTGGGAGAAGCCACATATTGGCTTCTCAACCCGCTGCCAAGGAACAGATCCAGGGGTGAAGCATTTCAATTGCTTTGAAAAATGGCTAAGTTCCGTGACATGCCATTCCATAATGAAGATACCTCGGTGATGAGCCTTTTCACCATGATGGAGGGACTCTAGTGTTGGTTCACAGTACTCTGTGCCTTTTTAGCCTTCAGTATTTTTTCATGGAAATTGTATAATCTATTAGGGCTGCTCAAATTCACACCGTTCCTCTGGTTTTGTTTCAGAATTCTTTAAATGTCACATCCTGAGCAGAGGATGGCGCTGTTCATTGGCACATATTGGCCCCTTGAGCTTGGGGGTGGCAAAAAGTTTCTACAGTACCAAAAAAGTAAACGTTGATAGTATGGCCTTGCAGCAATCAGATACACTAAGATCTAAGAGCAAATGAGAGCAGAGCTGAATAGTTAGCCATACCACAGGCAGCACCTCTGTGGGTGGGGATAGAGGCTTTGCTATGGCTCTACACTTCCCCCTAGTGGTTTCATGCTCAATTACACCCTCCTTGGATGTAACCTGTCTATACAGAGTTAACAGTCTTTCTGAAGGCACAGTATTGAAGATGTTAGACCCGGTGTGAGCCCAAATTCTAGAGTTAAAACCAGAAGCTTCCTATTGGTTAGCAAAACCAAAACTTACGACATTTGGGACTCTAGTTCTGAGGAAAGGTTCTGATGATGTTTTACTTCTGCAGGTCTCCAGAGACTCTTGAGACCCCGCTCCCCCCGCCCCCCCCAACTGCCTGACTGGTTTGTCAGATGCTCCAAATGGCCCAGACATGAGGATGGGCAGCAAAGGCAGGCCATGGAGAAGGCGTGGTTTGGAAAGAGTGTAGAGCAAAGCGAGAGGAGACAGAGTGTAGGAGAAAGGGAACGGAGGGTGAGGCTTGTAACAGATCAAATGCTGGCTTCCAGAAACAGACTTTATGGACTGGTTTGATGACTTCCCCCCTCCTGGTTCTCACCTTGAACAAAAAAAGCAGCCAAATTAAGCCAGTTTGAAGTATTGTTAAAATTAATAACACTGCAGCTTCTCTATGTGACTAATAGCAAAAGCATGAAGGATGACTAGAAGATAAGTTTTTTTCTCTAGATTTTCAAAGAAGCAATAAATTCAATAATAAAAAAATATTTGTAAGAGGTTGGGTTTTTCTTTTTTTGCAAAGAATTAAGCATTTCCTTTAAATACAGGACAGGATACCTGACTGAACAAATATACACTTTTGGAATCCTCTATCATGTCACCAAGTTGAAAACTTTGGAATGGCTTGAATCGTCCCCCTGCTTCTTACAGGTACCCCGTACTCAGCAATCAGGAATGTGTGCGTCACCTCCCCTCTGGGCCTTACACCTTCTTCATTCCTTTCCCCATGAGGCAAGCAAACACTGTCATGACCATTTTGGGATTCACTTCAACCAGGTCTTCTGGAAGGGCATACACTCTCGCTCCGATTTTTCGGGCCATAGAGATGGCATACCTAAAAGGGAGAAAAGAAGAAGAATGAGGGGAGCCTGAGAAACAAAGGATGAAGGGGATCCTGTAGGATCATAGTTACAGTCATTCCACATACTCCATACCACACACCACATGCCACACACCACATACTATCAGGACTCATTCCGGGGATAGCTGGAGCCAGTCACTGGCATCCTTCCACTTTTGTAAGCAAATCTTGGCTCAACAAAGCTCCGGACTCTATCAGGCTTTCTGTCTCAACTCATGATAATTCCAAAATTTATTTGTCCTTAGACCTCCCTAGCTCCCGCCACTTCTGATGCCTTCGTCACGAGTAGTCTCTTGGGCTGCAGAGCAGCAGAAAAGGTCATAGAGCTGAACAAGAACGTGTCCTGAGAGAAGTCTGCAGATCACATTTCAACGACAGAAACATTTTTACAAGGGAAAAATGAGGGGAGATGCACCTGTAATACTTTGATATCACACATCAATTTTATTATTTGTCCCGTTCCAATCCTTGCCCACATAGGCAGGCATTTATTTATGTCACTATATATAACACCATATATAACACTACAATAGCCAGAGTTTGATATTACACATTTTTCACATAAAATTATCATAGCTCCATTGGAACATTTTGGTCTATTTATAATTATAGGAAGATAATTTTTATGTTATAATCTATTTTCAAATGAGCCCACACTATTACCTGGAAACTCTTTTATTCACCTCATAGATTACCTAGTAACCTCTTACAACAACTACTCCAGATTCTCCATTCTACGCAAGGCCCCATTATGCTCTCTGCCTATAAACTAACTTTACTCTTACTCTATTGATCACATTAAATTAAGAGCATCAGGCAGGAGTAGTCCTCATTTTTTCTCCTTGCTCATTTCTGGATCACTACCTCTACATTAATTATCAATGAAACAAAAATGTATTTTTCTATTATAGAACACAGAGGGAAATTGTTGAGAAATTAGAAATAAGAGCTTCAAAAATCATGCAAATCTCACCACCGTAACATAACCATTTTTAGCATTTTGTAGAATTCCTTTTACCCATTTTTCTAAGTAATTCTGTATCATGTCCTTAGAGAAGAGTGCTTGGGATTCTGGGCTCTGAAGTCAGACTTTGAACCTCAGCTGGACCACTTAGTAATCGTAAGACCCTGGGTTCTGTAAGCTAACTTAAGGTACTTCAAATTCCTTAAACCTAATCATATTCCCCTTTAAAAACTAGGTCTAAGTCTTTTGTTTTTCCCCCTTGAGTCTTCACACATATTCTTCCCTCTACCTGGAGTATTCTTTCTGCCTCCTTCCCCTGTGTACCCTCCGTCTTTCTTACTAGTCTCCTCAATTCATCTCATCTTAGATGTTACTTGCTCTGTAGAGCTTTGTTTCCTTTCCTGTCCCCTCCATAGCACCCTGTAGCCCCCCAACCCCATCTTTTATAACTACCATTCATAATTCTAGCATACAAGGAACATAGGACCTCCACTTTCCCAAACTGTGAAAAGAAGCATACTATTGAGGTTATGAATAAATAGGGCTGCTGCTATTCAACTTGTTAATTCTGGAACTCTGTGATGGGTTGAATTGTGCCTCTCCCCTCCCCCCAAAGATATATGGAAGCTCTATTCCCTAGTACTCAGATTATGTCCTTATTTAGGAAGAAAGTTGTTTTGGATGTAATTAGTTAAGATGAGGTCATGCTGGAGTAGAGTGGGGCCCTAATCCACTATGACAAGAGACCTTAAGAGAAGAGACACAGACATGCACACAGAAGGAAGACAGCCACATAGAGTCATAGACACAAAGGGAAGATCATGTGACGATGGAAGCAGAGGCTGGAGTGATTCATCTACGAGCCAGGACCGCTGGCCATCACCAGAAGCGAGGAGAGAGGCATGGGACAGACCCTCCCTCACAGCCTCAGAAGGAACCACCCCTGCAGACATCTCAGTCTTGTCCTTCCAGCCTCCACAACTGGGAGGGAATACATTTCTGTTGTTTTAAGCTGCCCTGTTTGTGGTATTTGGTTGTGACAGCCATTGGAAACTGATACAACCTGTTCTAAGAAAGGCACTACTCCAGAGGACAGGTCAGCAAACTTTCCATAAAAACTCAGAAAGTACATAGTTTAGGCTTTGTGGGCTTTGTTGCAACTACTCAACTCTGCCCTTCTAGCAGGGAAGCAGCTACAGAATATATATAAATGAATAGGCATGGCTATGCCAATAAAACTTTATTTATAAAAGCAGACAACATATCAAATTTGGCTCACAGACTGTTGTGCGCTGACCCTCACTCTCAAGGAGCTGCCCTCAAGCTGGTAAAGACTCTAGTCTTCAACCCCACCTCCACCCATACATATCCACAGGGTGGATGTTTATATTTGGGCCTGCCATGTACTCTATTTAGAAAGTCTCCCATAGATTATAATTAGGAAATTGGTTTTAAGAAATTATAGACTTGCTTCTTGTTGTTCTTGGTCTTGTCCCCCTGCTAATACTAGGACTCTAAAGCTGCTATTGTACAATATCTAAAATAATGACGATGGGACACAGTAAGTAATGAGAAAAAGCATCAACGGTGCAATAAACTGTGCAAAGCCACAAACAATAGACTTTAAAGCTATCCAGTTGCCAACTGGGTCCCCCCTACTGCCTGGCCTCACATTTGTTTACGTACTTTGCATTGTTGAGTTTTTCTTCATCATTCAGGTTTTCCGTCTTCAGAAGGTCATAGTTAATGGAACCTGGTTGAATGGCATCAATGAGATCCAGAACAGGCAGACTTGTGCTAATCTTCGGGTCCTGCGCAGAGAGAAAGAGTTGGTTTATCAGTACGCCCCCAAGTTACTTCCATTCAGCTCAAGGGAAGTGGCTGGTTCTTTCCTCTTAAGTAGGAAATGTATACAGCCTGGTGTGGGAAATGCCACAGTGTTCCACACAGTGTTTCAAGTCAACTGTAGTTTCTGTAGGGGCGTTACCAACTTCCTGGTGCCTCGCTAAAATGAGGAAACCCAAAGTCTGCCAATAGGCAGGGAGACCTTCTCAAATAGTGAATGGGAAGAAGTTTGTATTACATCCCAGAAGTGACTGGCAGGGATCGTAATGAGGGCCCCGCTGCGCAGGAGTTTCAGAGGACGCTCCTTTCTTGGAGAACTCTGGCAAAGAATAGAGTCCGTAGGTCTAAGTAGGTGGTTGTGGCAGCTGGGTGACTGAATGCAATGACAGTCACTAGCACTGGTCAGTGCCTCATTGTTTGCCCAGAACTTTCTCGTAGGCTACCTCACGTGTCACCGTAAGCCTGAGATATAGGCGTCTCATCTTAATCTATAGTGAGTGAAGAGAGTTTCGGAGGTTAAGTGCCTCTCTGATAAGTAGTAGAACCGGGACCTGAACCTAGGAACTTGGATGTAAATCCTGGGCTCTTTCTCTGGCACTGTGAAACGCTGTGATTTTCAGGCCTAGAGCCATGAAGGCTCCCATCTGCTCTCCCCTGTCCTGGGGACCTGTGAGCACATGTGGAGAGGCAGCTGGCCATCACCATCGGAGCACAGTCAGATCCAAACACTGCACACATTGTGGGTCCACAACAGAATAAATTCTTTTTTCGTAATGTTTATTTTTATTTTTAATTTGAGAGAGGTTGACAGCATGAGTGGGGTAGGTGCAGAGAGAGAGAGAGAGACAGAGGATCCAAAGTGGGCTCTGTGCTGACAGCAGACAGCATAATATGGGGCTTGAACTCAAAAACTGTGAGATCATGACCTGAGCCAAAACTGGATGCTTAACTGACTGAGCCACACAGACGCCCCTCAAAATAAATTCTTAGCACGAGACAAGCTACAGGACCCTTGCAAGATGCTAAGTCTCTAGAATTGGTCCTTTGGATAAGACAGAGAATGATATTTTAAAAAATATAATGGGTCCATTTTTATTTACCCCTTGGTAACATGAGAACTACCACAAAAGTAAATCAATATGTAATCACAGTCTAATTTCCAACGTTAGCCTGAGCCTTGCTGAACAGCTGCAAGGGAAGCAAAATGGAAGGGTTTGAGTTTGGGCATCTCTCCTGCTTTCTGCCACCATCTTGTCAGTGCTGATGTGCAGAGATGGCCAGCAACTAGCGGCATTCACAGATGAGGAGGGGACCAGGACTATTTCTAAAATGGTTAATCAAGAGTGAATTGTGTTCATTTTTAAAAGGTTTCACTTAATTGGAATGTGAGGCTAATCTGACTTTTTCTGTGTGTGTGTGTGTGTGTGTGTGTGTGTGTGTGTTTACTTAATCAATTCTATAATGACTTGGTGAGAAGACAGGAGAAAATTAGCCCAGAGCAACACAAGGAGCAAATGAGCTGTCAAACATTCCAATGAGTAAGTCCCACGAGAAGGCTCCAGAAGCCACAGGGTGACCTAGTGGGCCTCCGAGGGAGGTAGCTGTTTTACAGAGAGATTGCACTTCTGGGCTAACGACCCAATCTCCACCCAATTCCTGCATAGTAATGGTTAAGTGACCTAGAGATGCACACTGCTCTGTAACCTCGCCCTGCAGGTAAAGGTGCATTCCACTCACTGATGGATCATCCCCTGCAATGATTAGCTGTAACCTCTATTCCCTGAGCTCGTTTCCTTACCTATTAAGTGAGGAAAACAGTAAAGCTGCCTTCACAACGTCTGTCAGATGATACGAGACATAAACAAGGAGCGCCTGCTACTCAGGGCACATTCCATACTGAGTGTGCTCCCAAATTTGGCCTGTTGTCTGCTTTTATAAATAAAGTTTTATTGGAACACAGCCATGCCCATTCATTTATATATTTTTCCATAGCTGCTTCCTTGCCACAATAGCCGAGTCCAGTAACTCTGACAAAGCCTGCCTTTCCAAGCCTTTTTTGTTAGACCTTGTTCATGCCTCTCACCAGCCTCTGCTCCTACCTCTATTCAGCTCTCCAGATGGAAGGGTAAGCCGTTATCTGTGATGAACTCACAGGGAGTGGGCACTCCTTCTAGAGCACAACTCAGAAATACTTCCTACTCTTTTCGGTGGGGTGAAATTTTAATGTTTTTTTCCTGATTTTGAAGCAGAAGACCGAATCATGACAAACCACCTCAGCAATCCTATTAATACAAATTCTGAAGGGGTCCCCTGCCCTAACTTCTGACCTTTAAACCAAAAAAAACACAGTTAAGACGGCCCAGACATTATGACACGAATCAGGTGCACAAGTCCCTAGAGGAAGGATCCAACTAATGTATGAAACGCGAGTTAAGAAATTTAATAAAATGTAATGCTGTTTTTAATAAAAATAGGATTTGGCTACAAGTACACAACTACTTTTCTCTGGAAAAATATCACACGGGGAGATCTTTTGGCATTTTACATTTCACCATCATTATGATAATAATCTGAATTGTGGAGCCGTGCACATTTAAAAAATACTATATTTTATGTTACTTTGGAAGAAACATGCCTAAAATAAGGTGCTAAAACGATAGATTTTTAAAATAAATTATTTCAGTAGAAAGTGACAAGAAATTTGTCAATGAAACAGCCCATGACCATCAAAACAATAATGGGCCATTCAAGCAAAATCAAAATTGGAGGGGGAAGCCTCAGATACCTCACACTGAAGGTCACTTTAAAATGGAGTGAAAACAATAAAGATTAGCATAGAGCTCAGGTGGCTGTGAGCAGTAGACTAAGATTTTTACCTTGAAACTGGAGATGGATGAACTTTTCTCCGCTTCCTTCAATGTTTCATTCACCCAGTTGACAATAATGTCATCATTGACCTTCTGCCCGCCTCCAATTTCTTCAAGAATATTCAGTGTGTACCTGAAAAAAAAATCAAGAATGATTTCTGGAGAAAAGTTGCTAGGGAATTCAATAACTCAGAAAGTAGCCAGGGTAGAAATGTTCTTTTCTGGCTAGTTTATGCCTCAGCAGGTAGCCCAGATACTGTTAGGTTTGTGGGAAAAAAAATAAATTAAAATAACAACAATATGTTCCTTTTAGGATAACTTAAAGTGTAGCTTAATCACTGTTATGGTGAGATGCAGAACAAATATGGCCTTCTAAGCACTGTCATTGCTCTGGGTAGGAAGAGAAAGCAGAAGAGAAGAGACGGAAAGGAAAACAAAGCAAAGGATTCAAAACAGTGACATGCTTCTTAACATAAAAATAGACGAACAATTCAACGTTTAAAAAAAAAAACCCCACAGGGCCAACATAATAAGGAAAAAATATAAAAGAGTCTCCTTCTATCATAAAAGAAATATTAGGAATACATGGACTAAAGTTAATCTCTAGTCTGAGCATAAGAATCACCCTAGACACATACTATTATGAGAACTGAGTTTTGGGAGGATTAAAAAGTTGCTTCAAACTCTAGGAAATGAGAGACTGGAGGGGAAGGTGCAATAAATAAAATGACTTCCTCCCACAGAACCCAAGGGGAAGGTCAAGATGAGAAATGCTTAGTCTGGGCCCAGAGATAGGATCAAATGCTGAGGAATTAGTGGATACAAATGGGATAAGTCTAGGTAGCTTTTGAAAATAATCCTCTTATAATAAGGCCCTAGTTTTGATCAGTTCATAAAGATGATGGTTTCTGGTATACCTGGCTTCTTGTTTCCTGAGAGTGAGCAGGGAGATTGAGTTATGAGCATTTACTGTAACACTTAGGAATTTCTGCCTGGTGAACGTGGTAAGAGAAGTAGATGAACTCATGCTTCATCGGGTCATGTCTATATGCAGCCTCATGGGACAAAGTGAGTTCATCTGCTGGAGGCTCTACTCATCTCAGGGATGTATTCTCACTTTCCCTTGTCAGGAGGCCCATACTGCTTTGTTGACAGGGTAGGGACCAAGGGCATAAAGATTTTGAGTTAAAAAGCCATCTAGGGGTGCCTGGGTGGCTCAGTAGGTTAAGCGGCCAACGTCAGCTCAGGTCATGATCTCACAGTTTGTGGGTTTGAGCCCCGTGTCAGGCTCTGTGACACAGATTCTGTGTCTCCCTCTGTCTCTGACCTTCCCCTGCTCACGCTGTCTCTCTCTCTCTCAGAAATAAAAAACATTAAAAAAATTTAAAAAAGAATAAAATAAAAAATAAAAAGCCATCTAAACCCAGCAGATTCAAGAAAAGCTCTTTACCTCCCCCTAGAACTGCCTACAAGAATGTAGATAGAGGGCCTGCTCCGGGAAGAGAGCTGTCCCATAGATAATTGCTTGCATTATTCTCTGAACTAGGTGCGGTAGGCAGGGAGGTACGAAGCAAGTCCTATTCGCTCAAAGTCCTCCATGTCCATTGTTTATGAGAGGCCCACCAAACATTTGTTTACCAAACATTCACTTTTTTTCACCTTTCTGCAAATTGCGTTCTTCCCTTTGAAGTCCCAGACCCCTGACCCCGTCTCCTTATTTCTGAAGGATGTATATACCTCATTTTGCCTGACCATCTTTGGAATTTCCATGTCTGTGTGGATTCCTGTTCACACAAAATCAAATTTGATTTTCTCCTATTAAGCAGTCTCATATTAATTTGGTTCTCAGGCAGGCTAGAAGGGTTTCGAAAGGCAGAGGAAATGGTTTCCCCCTGCCAACACCCTAAAGTGGACAGAAGCTAGGGAAGGAAGTGGTACACACAGGCTCACCTCTATACAAAAGTCTATCTGTGCAAACACAAATAGCCAGCCACCAAGGAACAAGGAAACTTAGAGACGTGCAGAAAATCATGGAGGCAGCTGACTGCAGTCAGGGGTCTGAGTATGGCCCCTCGTGGTGACACAGAGTTCTGCTGAGTACAAAATTGCCTTTCCCCCACCTCAAGGAAGGTGTAGCTGTTTAAGTGGAATCATATACCCACCTGGAAGTAAAAATGGTAAAAAGAAAGGACAGAATTAGGTCGGAGTCTCAATTCTGGACAGTCCACAGAGTACTAATTGTAGATTCAAAATTTAAAACAAAAATCAATTTGGCCCATGTCAACCTAGGATTTTCCTTGGCAGGAAGATAATCACTCCACGCCATCAAACATATTTGATGTTGAACTGGAACCTCTGGACAGGATCCCAGTATCACTGGTGTTTGCAAACTGTGCGGTGCTGAAAAGCCCTCTGTTACAGTGAAAGGGTGCCGTGAGCTCTTGCTCCAGCCACTGCCTAATTCAACAAAAGAGGATTGATGAAGGGGGCATGTGCAGCGCTGGAGGGTCTGTGATGATTATTCGCTTGCTTTTCTGCCTTCCAAGGCTTGTTTGATTTACTTAACTTCTGACCCAGAGGGACAAACCGTGGTGTTTTGTTTTGCAAGGACCTATCCCAAATTCACTATCCATGGCCTGTTTGATTTGGGGTGAATTCCTCATTTGCCTGCCTCTTTGTTCATTTGCTGGAGTCTGTCATTGCTGTCTGCTATCAGCTTACTTCTATCCAGCTTTTGTCTCCAAATTTATACACACACTATTTGCCAGCTTTCTAATCTGAGTACGATTTCCAGGCTACTGAAGGGGAAAGGGAGGTTTAAGCACAGGTCTCTCATTTGTTCTTGGGGGGGGTGGGGGGGGTAATGACATGCCATTTATTGGCCAGATAAATGACCAAATTAGCACATCTGTGCAATCCGATGAAATAAATTCCAGCTAGAACTAGCTCTAAATTGAACAGATCTGTTAACGTGCAGCACACAGAGAAAAAAAAAATCCCTTCTGGTGGCATTTACATAATTATCAGTCATTTCATCGCCTTCAACAGTAATGCATTTGTCTGTTCACTTTCTTATATGCACCATGCTGTAGTAAATGCTTATGAGAAATGTGACTTATTAACCAAGTGGGGACAGCAGCTGCAGTCTAGATCTTATCACATATATACCAGCCATAAAGTATGGCATGGGGCCACATTTCTATAAGATGTACAGAACAAAGATGCTATTACAAGGTGATTTTCAGGTATTATGAAATTCAAAATGGCCTGAGTATTTTTTTATCATTAAAACAGAAAATATAAAAGATTATTTCATATTCAAACCCAAAAGTTAACTTAACCATAGCAGCTAAAAAGACTTTTGCTTTGGTTTTTAAAGCAATCAGGGCACCTGGGTGGCTTAGTGGGTTAAGCGTCCAACTTTGGCTCAGGCCATGATATCATGGTTCAGGAGTTCGAACCCCATGTCAGGCTCTACGCTGACAGCCTGCTTGGGATTCTGTCTCCCTCTCTCTCTGCCCCTCCTCTGCTCACTCTCTGTCTCTCTCTCTCTCTCAAAATAAATAAATAAATAAATAAATAAATAAATAAATAAAACATTAAAAAAATAAATAAAGCAATCAGCAGCTGAAGCCAGTCTATTACAAATTAAAAACACACATGAAAGGTAATAGAAAATAAGTCACACATGTTTCTGAAAATATGCTGGTAGGGCAGCCCTGGGGCACTTTCAGTGATGTTTTAAATGCATGCAGCAAAATAAAAGATGTAGCTGATGTTTCTTTAGTTCTGAAGTCTTCTGTGCCAGAAAAGCCTTGCAACACCTGCCTTAAAATTTCAAGGAGACCTCAGTTTAGAGATGGGTGGTTGAGCACTATACCCGGTAAAGCAAGTGAGAATCAGGTAGTGAACTCCATTATGATCATTACTGATTATACAACATCACCTGCAAACACTGACATACTTTGAGGACCATTAAGAATATCAGGACCTACAGACGGTGGCTTGGGAATAAAGCCAGAGTGCCTAGAGACACATGCCTCGTCTTTGTCATTCACTTGTTAGACATAATGTAATGTGACATGTGGTCTCTGGAACTTCCTTCCAGGTAGAAAATGAATTTAGTCATAGTAACATAGATTCTAATTAAGGGATGTAAGATTTCTGCCTGGTCAAGGCTATCAGTAGAGGGGAAAAGTGTGAAGCATTTAAAAGTAAACTGTTTTATACTTACAGATTTGCTCTCTTAAATTCTTCCTAGGCTCATGATTTTGTACCAAAAATTGTTTACTTTTATGATAATTTATTTTCTACTTATATATCATATTCTGCCTTGTTGCCACATGGTTCTCACATTGATCAGGTTTATATTAAACTCTAAAAGGTATCTAAAATTATCTTGTGAAGAACTAGCAGGAAATTCTGCTTCTTTTTTTGTACATTTTCTTTTTTTTGCTTTTTTAAATTATTTTTTATTAATTTAATTTTTTTTAATTTAAAAATATGGAATGCCTCACGAACTTGCATGTCATCCTTGCACAGGGACCATGCTATTCTTCTCTGTATCGTTCCAATTTTAGTGTATGTGCTGCCGAAGCGAGCACAGGAAATTCTGCTTCTGGCCATGATGTGGTGACAGGGACCAGATTTACTCTTTTGCCTTAAACATCCAAACACAATGAAAAACATATAAAACAATGTTGCTCAGACACTGGACAATAGGAAGCACAAAACAGTCATTCTTGAAATTAGGAAGGTAAATCTGGCGAGCCCTACGATTGTCCCAGCTTATTGCATGTAGTTTCCAGGCTGCAGTGCAGGGAGAGAGAACCCAAGCAGAGCACCAGCAGTCCCTCTGAGTTGAGAGGACAGGACTGACAACTCAAGGAAGCCAAGGTGCCTGGAGCAGAGTATCATAGAGGAGAGAGCTGCCTGGAAAGCAAAGAGTCATCTAGAAAGAAAGCTCCAGACATTTTCAGAGTGTTTGACACAAGTCTTTAGCTGAGTAAAGTGAGTAAACTCAGCACATGTGTGAGAGAAAACTACCAAAGACTGGGACCAGAGCTGTCAGAAGCGAATGGGCAGAATGATTCTTGGGACTCACACAGCACTGTAACTAATGTGGTTCCCACCAGCTGGAGTGTCAAAACCCTCATGATACATGGAGCATCAAGTTCAGTACTCAGAGGGGATTATCTCAGTATGGAGAGACAAAATTAGCTCAAAACTAAGTGAACTTAAAAGTTAGGCTCAAAAGGATCAAACTGCATTTAAGTAACTTAACTGCATCCTGGGACAAAATATAAGAATATTTAAAGGCAAACAGATATATCCAGCACATAGCAAGGTGAAATTCACAACGCTTCACACACAATAAAAAATTAGTAGGCATGCAAAGAAGCAGTGAAGTATGACCTATAATGAAGACAAAAATCAATCAATAGAAACAGACCCATAAAAAAATCACTATAATTATGTTCTATATGTAGAGAAAAGAGATTCAGGAGATGCTGAAAAGACCCTACTCAAATTTTTATACATGTAAACTATAATGTCTGAGATTTAAAAAACTATATATACTGGATGGAATTAATGTAAAATTAGACACTGCAGAAGAAGAGCTTAGTGAACTTGAAGACAAAGCAATAGAAATTATCCCAAATGAAACATACTGTGGAAAAATGAAAACAGAGGGGGGAAATGAATAGAGTATCAATAAACCCAGGGACAACTTCAAATGACCAAATAGGTGTGGACTTGGAGTTACCCAAAAACAAACTGGACTGGGTGGTACAGGAAACATATTTGAGGAGATAAAAGCCAAAAGTTTTCCACATTTGATTTAAACTATAAACTCTCAGTTTCAAGAAGTTCAACAAACCTCAAGCCCATTATACCAAAAGCCCATTATAATCAACTTGCTTAAAACCAGTGATAAGGAGAAAATCTGAAAATATGCCACAGAAAAAAGACAGTATATCAAAGGAATGAAGATAAGAATAACAGATTTATCACTGGAAACAATGCAAGCCAGAAGACAAAGAACGTTATTTTTAAAGTACCAAAAGAAAAAAAAAACTATCAACCTAGAATTCCACACTCACAGAAAATATCTTTCAAAACTGAAAATGAAATAAAGACTTTTTAGGCATCTGGAGGCTGAAATGCATCCTCACCAGTGGATGTACATATTAGAAATATTTCAGATAGAAAGTAAACTAAATCAGATGGAAATATAGATCAACACCATGGAAAGAAAAGCACCAGAAATGGCAAAGGTGTAAGTAAGTATAGCACATTTTCCCCTTATTGTGAAAGCCTCTTTAAAAGATAATTGACTTATTTATATAAATCAAAAATATTGGACAAAGATATGTCATGCCAACATTAATCAAGAGAAAGCTGGAGTAGCTATATTAACATCAGGAAAAGTAGATTTCAAAGAAAAGAATATTATCAGGAGTAAACAAGGTCATGCCATGATGAGAAAGGGGTAACTCATTAAAATGACAAGCCATCTAAAATATTTAGTAATCTAATAACAGAGTTTCAAAATACCTTAAAGAAAATTTAAAGACTTGAAAGGAAAAAAATGACAGGGAAATAACAAAGCACCCCTTTGGTTTTAAGTTTAGCTTAAAATAAAATAGGAAAAAAATAACAGGAAAATAAAAATTGGGAAAATAACAGGAAAAAAAAATAGGAAATTTTAAAAAATACTCCTTTGGTTTTAAGTTTAGCTTACAACGTAGTTTTGCTGGTTTATATCACATTCCTGAAAATGTGCTCATATTTTTCCAGGTCGATAAGATACCCAAAAAAAAGCCACTTCCCTGATACATTACCTTCTCATTAACTGCCATATCAAGGCTAATGTTAGAGTACGATTTCCTTCATTGAGATCTTGTCCACCGATGCCAACCAGAGAAAACTTAGCTTGATTCTTCCCCAGCTCCACTGCGTAGTTACAATTCTCAAGCTGTTAAGGAGCAAGAAGGAACGCATTCTAATGCCATAATCTCTATGGTCAGAAATACCAGATGAGATAACTTTTAAAAAAGACACAAAATGAAATAAATATCATCAGACTGAATGGTCTCTCACGTCTTGTCTGGTTCTGCAATTCTAGGATTCTAATCAGTCAAAGTATTTGCCATCTTTTCTTCCCTAGAACCCCTTGTGTCCACCAAAAAATATTTCTAGTGTGCTCCAAGTGCAAAACCAAAATGAATTCATTATTATGAATACTGTCATGGCTATATCACACCACAGAAATAGAGGGCCACGCCCAGTTACCTGTCCATACTATTCCTAGAACAGCTGAATTTGTGGAGGCCGACATGGAAAATCCAGATCCTCCATCTTACACGCACATAATGGCTGACGTGTGGGACAGGTATTCCCATGGCTACGCTTGGATCGTAAAGAGCCAGAGAGACAAGAGACGGTGAGAAATATTTGTGCCAACCCCATTGCTGTTTTTATGAAACAAAGTGTCCCCACAGTTCTTTGTATAAGTCAAACTGTCTGTATAAAGCTCTAATTCTTTAGGAATTAGAATAAGGATCCTGCTGGTGGAAAAGCAACCCTGTAGTTCTGCTCGCTCTAATTATCTTAATTAGAATTTTTACATCATAATGTTTAAAGACATCCGACATGGAATTATAAATAAGTAATCAACTGAAATAATGGACTCACTTTAATGAAACTATTCAGGCTTCTGATTGCTGTACTATAATTTAATCCTTGGATAAACATTACTTATGTAAGTATTCACAGGGTGCTCCTGCAGGCTTATGGCTTAACCTGCCTGTTGGAACATCAAAGAGTCATTGTTTACCTTCTTCATGTTGCCTCCCAGTTTGGGGTATGGTGGTTTGTTTACTCTGTTCCAATCAACAGGGACTTTAATCTTTTCATAGAGCTGGAAGATGACCAGGGCATCTGATAAGTCACTGAACAAAAACAAACAGAAAAGAATTCTCAGGTCGCCACCATTTATTAAGGGCCTGCAGTGGGCAGGTACTTCTTTATACATCAGCACAAGGGATATTTGCGATAACCTGGCAAAATTGGTATTAGCAGCTCCATCTGTAGAGGTGAAGAAACTCTTGACTCAGAGAAACTGAAGAAACTTCCTCAAGGTCTCTCCCAAGTGTGACTGCTTATGTTCCCATAAGCCAGAACACGCTGCCTCCAGGAAAAGAAATATGGCTTCAACAAATAGCATGGGAGACCAAATCCCATACACTTAACTTTTTTGTTTGTTTTGCCTGCTCATGAGCAGATCGCAGGCTTACAATATGTAGTAAATCTGTCTGTTTGCTGGATTCTGATTTTTCTACTGGACACACAGCAAGGATGGTCAATGGAAGTGAGTTTCTCAGCTGAAGACACAACACGGGCAGCTCCATTTGGTATTATTCCCCTTCTCATCAAGATGCACACATTTGGGGAAGAGAGTTGCACGCCATAGAGGTATCTGAAATCCCAGGGATCTTTCAAGGTCTCAGTTCTCACGTTAAAGATGAGTCCCTACATGGGGCGCCTGGGTGGCTCAGTCAGTTAAGTGTCAAACTCTTGATTTAGGCTCAGGTCATGATCTCACAGTTCATGAGTTCTGGCCCCATGATGGACTCTGCAGTGGCAGCGTGGGGCTTACTTGGGATACTCTTTCTCTTTCTCTCTCTCCCTCTTTCTCTGCTCCTTTCCCTCTCATTCTTGCTCTCTCTCAAAATAAATAAGTAAACTTCAAAAAAAAAGATCTGTATGTTTAAAAAGAAGGGATGAGTCCCTACATATTCTCACCTGTACAAATGATTGACTCGAGGGTTAACGCCCAAGGAATTCATCCAGTTCCTAAATGTCCGTTCTTCTCTCGTCTCACCTAAATTAATAAAGACCCATTATCTTTCAGGCCCCTAAAAAAATAGGCATTTTTCATGATCAAAGTTTCACTAAAGAGGTTATACTAAAAACTAGACGAAGAATGAAAAAATTAATTCAATAAACCTTAATAGATTTGGATGACACTTGTGCTGTGTTAATTCTTTTCTCTATTCCAATTCAGTGACTGTTTCTGTAGCATCTATTAGTGTATGAGCTCCTGTCCGGAGAAGTGGTTCAGAGTTGGTGCTTAAAAGGCTAACATTCTTTCAAGGACAAGACTTCTAGGCATCAGAGTGAGATCATGCAAGCTAGAGAGCCAGCATAGGAGGTAAATATATTTGCTATTTGAGTTCAGATAGGAGAGAGAATAATGTGGGCTAAATTTGGAGGGAGTGGAATTTGAGCCTCACCTTACAGGACTAGTCAAATCTGGACCTCAAAGAGGAAAGGGGAGAGGATTTGAGGGAATGGTAAGTGGTGGGGAGAGGAGACAGGGTAAATAGGAACACAAAGGGAGCGAGAGGCAAGGTCTGTGTTAAGACCATTAGGGACTCGTTTTTCAGGGATCTGTGTTATACATGGAGATAAGGCTGTCGAGCAGCTGGAACCAGAATCGGGGATCTCTGATTGCCAGCTACCAGATTTGGGTTGATATATTAAACAATGCCAGCCATTATGGGCTCTCTTTTTTATTACTATAATAAATTCCTGAGCAAGGCAGAGATATAATGATGGCGGTACTGTGATGTGCCTGGCAGCAGTGTGCGAAATTACTGAAAGGCAACGTGCATTTAAATTAAACACGCAGAGGGGAAAGCGTGTGCCACTGGCACATGGGTACATTCAAGTGCCTGATAAATGGAGAGACAGGCCCCTAAGACCTATTGAAATGATTGGTGTATGATTTAATAAGAGCCCAGAAAGCAGTAAGGAAAAATAACAATCTGAAAGCCATTCTGCAAGAAGAACTATTAGTATTTTACTAATTCAGTAGACTTAGAGGCGAAGAGGAAAATATCAAAGCAGAATCCAGGGTTGTGATGACTGAAGAAAAAAGTGGTATGAGTAGTGAAAATGGAGAATTTCTAAGGGAGAGCGGGGAGATGGTAGCAAGATGGGGATGCATGTTGCAGGGTGGGGGTGGGGTGGAGGCAGACAGGATAAATTCTGCTTTGTGTTTGCTGAATTCCAAGTGATGGCAGAGGAACCAAATGGGGATGTTCGAGAGGCAGCTGGAAGTGGGTGATTAGAGGGCTTGATGTATATACTTGGTAATCAACAAAACGCCTGGACCCCTGACCACAATTTATCAAATGATTCAAAGGCACCACTGTTGGAATACAGATTGATTTTGCACATCCAGCTTGGGTAAGGCATTGCAGAAAAAGAAAAATCGAGATTTTAAATCTAGATTTCCTTTCTTTGGTTGGATTCATTTCATATCAATTTTGTCTTGAATTTTTTTGTCTCAATATTGAAACTAATTCACGACAGGGAAAAGGACCCGACTACAGCTACATGCTTTTTGTTTGATCTTAGGGCACTAATCCCCAAGTTCCAACTGTTAGAGATTCTGCCTCAAAACTTTACTCTTCCCCACCCTACCCCCAAATCCAATTTGAAGTAACAAAACAAAAACCCCACTAAGCACCTCTTAGCATTAAGTTAAATATTTTTAGATGATGAGTGGCTGCAATCTCTTGCCTCCAGGAATTAACACTCAGTCCATTAAGTACATAAATTAGGTTTTTGGAACTCAGGATTTATTTCATCTGATAATTAAATGCATTGTCTTCCCTAAAACATTTAATTCTGATAATGGATGAAGCCTATGTATAATGGACATGATATAATGGTATTTGATTATTCCTGCTAGGCTGTAATTGACTTGATTAATCTATTTATTCTCTTTGTTATATACCAGAGAATTGCTGACCTGTTTGCAAATCTTCCCCACTGTGTGAGGGATTTACATTTGCTTAGCAGGTAATTTCAAACTGCCCTTGAATTAGAATTGTGAATGCCTTTACGAACCTATAAGCAACAGGTTTCCAATTACCTTCAAGAGCCCCCCAGTCGATGTCCTGGTTCTCTGGTTTGTGCAGGGCAGGGTATCTGTTAAAGAGGTTGGCAATGAAAGCCAAGTTCAACTTGGGGTTGCCTCGAACAACATCTGTGGCTGTGACAAATTGCCGGCAGCCCAGCCTCTCTGCCTGCTGCAGCATGCACTCTGCTCTCTGGATGTCGTCCTTCTCCTGTAATGATGAAGGTCAGGTCAAGGTTGGGTCAAGGCTCTCCATGCACAAAGTAGGCAGGGTAACATGAAAAAGGAATGGGAACCATACTGAAGTCCTCAGTGCATAACCTCAGAGAGACACTTAACCATAGCATACTGTTACTTACGGTTGCCTAAACTGAAATCAGCAAGTTACACGTAAAAGGAATCTCAGAAACTGAGTCTCTCATCTCTATACAGAACTATTTCAGATGAATGCGTAGTTGTCCTGTTTTTAAAGAGATTCAAGAGATTCTACAATCCATCATTTAAGTTGATCTTAATTATTTTCTATGATTAAGCTTCCTTTTTATTATTTGTTTGCAGAGTCCATGATATTTTGTCTATCAAAAGTGTTCATGTGATCATCAAAAATTATACTCTTCCGTTCATCAAAGATATTTACACCTGTCAATAAGAACTTCTGATTAGTATAAACACCTTTTCCAAACTGAGTTGGTACACTTGCAACTCAAAATAAATGTGACACTAGTTAGGCGAGCTACATAGTGTCATTGAAAAATACATAAGAACAATTTGGCTTTTGTACACTTCTTTGAGGATGTGATCTATTAAAATTCTATTCAAAGAGTTGTAGAGGATCTCCAGTCCTTTTAAGTAGACTCTTATTAGAAGGTAAAGTTTTGTTTAAATGTGGTCCACCATTCTTAAAATTCTTAAGAGTCTATGAAACCACTAATTTTCAGAAAACAGAACTTAAATTGAATTATTTATTAATTGAAGTTTTACTAGATAACACTGAACATGATACATTTCATGAGCTTCTCATTCAGAAATGAGTTAACTTTAATGTTCACTGATTGGACTTAACTCTAATGATTTCAAATGAGGCACAAAAATGGATAAGGTAATCTCTCAAGGTCAATATTAAAGTGATAGAAAAACTAAGGTCTGTGTTGACTGTTTTTAAGAATCCTCAAACCAGACACTTTTTTTTTTTTTTTTTACAAATAGTTTATTTTCAAGTTGGTTTCCATATAACACCGAGTGCTCATCCCCACAAGTGCCCCTCTCCGTACCCATCCCCCCACCCCAAACCAGACACTTCTAAGAACTCACACAATCTTATCCAGCCCTTTTCTCCTATTATCCCCACTGATGTCATGAGGCAGGGTTGTGGCTTGATGAATATGGGAGCCATCCTGGGTTTAAATCTTTTCTATGCCATGTACCGGCTCTGTGGCCACAAGATGATTTTTAGCCTCTGTGACCTTCAGTTTTCTCAACCATAAAATAATTATTAACACTTAGCTTAGTGATGTTTGCATGGGTTAGACACAGTGTATACAACATGCCTAGTATAGTACCTGGTACATAAGACCAAAGGTGGGGTGTTGTTTCCTTATTATCATCAGAAGAAAAGGACCTCAGCCTTAGATCAGATAACTTCCAACAGTCTGTCATATGATCTTGGACATACTAATTAATCCTTCTCAGACTCAGATTTTTTTATTTACAAAGTGAAAGTTTATTTATTTGTATAAATATCCCACTGATTTCTAGAAATAATACTCGGGTACCTAAACGTGAACTAATCATACCTCTTGGTATTGTTGTGCCCTATTAAATGATGAACCATATACAGAAATGTGTGGCATTGGATTGGTGGTAGTTTCTTTCTTTCCTTAACATCCATTTTCAGATTCAATTTCCCACAGTTGTTACCCTGAACCATTAACTATTATTAACAGTTTTAACAGGGCTTCACGCAGAGATCTCCACTCATGCAGCCCCAGAGTCAGGGTCACGGGGGGCAATGGAACTACCAACTTAACCTCACGTTCTCTAAATGCAGCTTGGGACATGGCCTTACCCTGAGTCCTGACATGTCGATAACGACAGCAGGAATGCCTTCTTCATCTCCTTTCGGAGCCACCTGTTCAAGCAGGTGGTAATAAGCTTTGGAGTCCTGTGAGAAATTAAGAAATTACAATTTCAAAACAGTGCAGCTAATTACATACTTAGCAAGACAGTAATTTCCCAAAAGCAAACATATTCTATTTTATTATTTGACTGTCATTTAAGAATGCAACTTAATTAACAACGCTGGAAACATTCACTAATTTGAGTTTTCGATTTGTCTGTTTACATACATATTGGACTTTCTTTTTAAAAAGAGGTATAACAAATATATGACACACACAGAAGGCAACCCAAAGAGGCAAATGCTACTCTGCGGTACTTAGGGGAGAAAAAGACTTTATGTATATGTATTAAATTGTATACAGAAAAAAAAATATACCTTTATATTGCTGTAGAAGTCAGTCAGCTAAGGTTGAATTAAAAAAAAGTGACAGAAAAAGGAAGCAGAAGTTTAAAGCAGAGTTTAAAAATACATTTAAGTGGACAATCAGCAAAAGAAAAAGAAAAATTTCAGAGACAGAAGGTTGGAGCATTAACAAGCAATCTTTACATAAAAGGAGATATTACTATGACAAGTGCATTTAATGTTCATCACAAAGTTGAAAAAGATTAAGTTTCTAGCAGATTGCATATAGATACTGAAATCTCATGTTTCTACGAATATGCTTATTGACAAAAAGAATTCTCAGAATCTTAGTCTTAAAATTATAAACTTATGCTCATTTGGTAGAAGCATGCACTATTCAGGTAGTTTATTGCAATCATTTAAATGCATCTTAATTTCTCTTAAAGACTGAGAAATCAGCTGTTACTCTTTTTGTTTTTAAAACTAGACCAGGCCTGGGGAGAGCAGAGGTATGCTCTCCACCTGTGATATTAGAAAGATCAGAACACAGGTAAGCCAGCCCCTGATGGTGTGCCTGGGGAAACCCATTTTTATCTCTCCCTTGCACCCACCCCTTTTCTTTCTCTGTAGCTATTTTGAAGTCAGTGAAAGTTCCATGCAGGTGTTTGGCACAAAAGAAACCTGCCTACCATGTGGTATATCTGTTTAGCTTTGCTGAGACTAGCCCTGTTTTATCTGACCCTAATAAATCTCACTCACTCAGGGGCAGGTGTTTCCCCTGCGCCCAGCTGTGCTGACTCTGTATGACTGAAACCCCTCAAAGTTCCAGGTACTCTGACATACATCACAGCCCTGACCTTGGGCGGGATACAGCTGTTCTTTGGTCACAGGCACAACCCTTGTATATGCTCAGCTTGCTAGTTCTGATGATTATTATTCTAAAAAACACAGTTTTAGTAATTGGAAATCAGATAAATTTATGGCTCAGATGAAGCAGCCTAATTTTGGAAGAAAAGCTTGGAAATTTTGGCTGAAACAGGTGCAGAGCTTAACAGCTGAGCACAAAGGAAGATAATGCCACTGTCCAGCTCCTGTTAAATCCCCCGTTAGATTAGTGGCGCTAGATTAATAATAGCCAGTGAAAGTTACATGGTTAGAAAAATTAACTTGTCATTATTAGCTTAGGTCCTAAGGAATGGGGGACTGCGTATCTAGAAGCTTCACTCTAATTGGCACCAGGCCTGGCAGCCACTGAGTCCACAGAGGGGGAAGCTGAAGCTGTCACTTACAGAAATATAAACCAGGGTTGACTTTTGGTGAGTCATGTGACCTTTCCTCTGACTCCAGGGAGAACTTTTCTTTAACTTTTGAGAAAGTGGACCATTTCTCAAGCTACATCCCAGTCTCTCACACCATTTACTACTAGCGCCTGCCTTATGAGCCTCCTGGCCTCTCCTTAAGCTCTTTCTACCTCAGCACTTCTGTCTTCAGTGTCAACCTCTGTCCTTCACCGTGACATGGAACTTTTCACAAAGTTTTGAAACCACAGGGCATGCTTCCCTCAGCCGTTCCCCCTTTGGATCTCTGTTGTAGGACTGATTGCTCTTCTTCATGTCCTGGGGTCAATTCTCATTGCAGATGGTTTCCAGGATCATCATCTTCTAAAACCCACTCTGGTTTCTACAAATGAAAACCTTTCAAGGAATCCATGAATTGTTTTAGACAGGCAGTATGTCTGGTGGTCCAATATGGGGACCACGGAGGCTGACTGCTGGATCTGAATCCGATCCTGTTCCCCAGCTATGTGAACTTGAACCAATTACCTAAAATTCTCTTTAACCTCAGTTTCCTTATCTGTAAAATGAGAAAATAATAATCTTTATCTCAAAGGTTTACTGTGAGGATCAAATGAGCCAATTACATGCATAAAGCTAGTAGAACGGTGCCTGGCATGCACTAGACACCGTGTTTGGTATTCTTAGTGTAATTAGAAGAGTAACTCTTATTTAATTTTTTTAAAGGACTCTCACCTGATGCTCCCACTGAAAACATGAGAGAGACATCACAGGCCTACACGTACTCTGTTCCTTGAAAAGCAGTCTCACCTCTTGCCCTTCCCTCCCTTCACTTGCTGACATTCCAGCTCCAGAAAGGGCCACCTCCCTTCCACGCTGCTGCATCAAAGTCACTAGTACTTTGGACAGATCTGCATGGGGCCCAGAGCAAGAGCTGCACAGGGATCCCGCAGTTCGCAGGGCACCAGCCACCCTCTAACTAACCCTAGAGGTTCTGAAGTGACATAGCCTGAGTCTTTGCCTTTTCTCCATCAACGCCCCAATCCCCCTTCACGGCAGCAGTCGGCCGGCCGTGTTCGAAGCACACGCCTCCTACCTTGATGTCCGTGCTGAAGTTGTTGATCTTGTTGCAGCCTGCATTCTCCAGGTGGTAATTAGCCCACCTCAGCAGGAGCTCCTCGGGGGAGAGTTTCATCAAGTCTTCCAGACTCTCCCCTTCTCTCAAAAGGGCAATCAGAGCTGAAGAAGGACAAAAGCCGAATATAGATAAATACAGGGGATATTTGAGATTCGTTAGAACTTTCAGTGGGCTCTGCTGGAAAGCCAACATAGCAATGTTATTTCTCTGAGGTAAAGGTATTTATAAGCCTGTACTGTGGAATAAACGCTTTATTACCATTCCCTGAAAACAAATGTAAGGTATTGAGATCTTATCTATTGTCCTCATTTTTCAGGTGGGGAAGGCAAGTCACCAGTGAATCTCAAAGCTGTGCCTAAGAGTATCAGAGCAGAGACACAGAAATAACCAAGATCATCGGCTCAGAAAGCTCTGCTGGCTCCATCAGACCACATTTCACAATATGACAACAGTTTTGCTTTTAAGAGCCCAATTTTATAATAATGACAATTGTCCTCTTTTCTATTCCCATAGGGGTTTTGAATTTCAAATGCTTGCTTGAATAATTATAGCATCTCAAAAAGTGTAATCAACTCTTTCCTCTATTTTTCCCAGCTGAATAAATATATTTTGCTCAGCTAGAAGGCTTAAATGCAGTTGAGGTCATAATGTGCAAATCAATATTCTTTCTTGTGGGTTCTAAGTTTCTTATTTGCTTTTTCTCCTCTATATCATGCTTTATATATTGGTTTAAATGGCAGCCCAGGATCCTTCCCTGGTTATTGTGATTTGGAGACAGAAATTTAAAAGAATATATAAATCAAGATTAGAATTTGGCTACAGATTTCATATTCTTGGGATCTGTACCAGAAAACTAAAAAGTAACCCCGTTTTTTGTATGATTCTTATCACAATCTACTACTTCTGTCTGTACCACAGGGCTGTGATTGTTTAAATGAGGGAGGATGCTGACAGCAGACAGGATAAGATTGACAGCTATAATGTTTAGCTGAGAACTCTGAAACTCTCAGTGTAATCCTCCATAGTCTTGGTAAGAAATAGACCAAGTTTCTCCTAATCTGGCACTATCACTGCAGTATATGAATCAGAATTGCTTCATAAAATACAAGTTAAAAGAAGTACTCTATTTGGGTACAAAGTATCTAAAGGCAATGTGAACCCAGAAAAGCTCTTGAGGTTAGATCCCAGACAGCCAGACTGGGCTCTAGGTTCTATACAAGCATTACTATTAGCTTGCGGTCTTAAAAAGCTTTTGCTCTGTCCTTCTAAAAAGCCCGGTCAGTGTGGATAGAAACTGTTACATTAATGCAACAGATTCAATACAACCATAGTTTTCAAAAACTGAGGATTCTGGGCTTCACTCTTCCTGACATCTTCCTCTTACAGCCCCCAACACATGCATTAATAAAAAGCCATGCCATTAATAACATTTGTGGCTCAGCTCATACCTTCATTTCTGCTGAGCTCAATGTCAGCAAACAACCCAATCTTGATGACCTGCCACAAAAGTCCCAGGACCAGGTAGGGCTTCCCCTCCTTCAAGTCCTCAGCCCCGATGTTAACCACGTGGCATCCAATGGCTGAGGCAGAATTCAGAGCCAGGTTCAAATTCTCCTGAGGGAGGAAAGTTGTACAAATTTGGGTTTTGAGTTTGCAGATGTCAAATGGTCAACAACAATGTTTTGCCTCTGGAAAGTTCACAGGTCTAGAGGCATGGTCTTCACTAAATTTTAACATTGAGAAAAAGCAGTGAGTAACAACTGAAGGGGGAAATCTGGTAACCCAGACAATGGGCTTACGCGGTATCTGTTCAATCAAACCGTCTCCCTGAGCTGAAGGCCCATCCTGGCCCGGAGGAAACTAATGAGTCTTCCATTTTTCCATTTTGCCCTGGGATGGAGCGTATCCACTCAGCAGCTCCACTGGCCAGACACAGAGGGGTACCTTTGAGAGTTGTCATTGTCTTGTCACTGGCTATCATTAACAACACAAGTGTTGATGTAAATCAAGGTCATAAAAGAGAGTAACAAAACAGCTTTTTGACTTTCAGATTGGGTATTAAGAGAATGAAAAAGATACAAATCGAATGCCTGGGAAAGATAGAGTGGTGTTCAGTATGACAATTTACTGAGTGTCCATAATATCTGGGGACCTTAAATACACATATACCTACACACACTCAAACACACACATGCACACATGTTCTTAGAACTAACAACAATGCATGTGATGTATCTCAAACACAGTTGGAACAGAATCCATGAACTTTTCAGTCTAGAATCTATATACTGTTCTTGGGTCCATAAAGGAGAAGATGTTGAGGCAGGGACATGCAGAAGTTGTTTTTATGACAAATTAAAAACACAACACGGGCCACAGTGACTTGGAAAGGGAACTATCGGGGAAAAAAGTGGGGTTTTGCCTTAGTGTAGGGCTCAAATGATGAATACAAATACCATTTCTATTTATAGCTAGGACTAAAATTTAACATCAAGGTTTAACAGTCTGCACGTTCATATACATGTAATCATTGTCCTCACTATGGTTATTACTTTCATTTTAAAAGTACACGGTGTTGTTTACACCAGACAGCATAATATATCGTTCATGATTTAAGTAGTGAGACATGGTTTCTGAGCAAGAGAATCACAATAATGTTAAAACGCTGGAACATAACATAGAAATATAGCTTACTTAACCATGGGTTACTGTGCCAGTTAATCAACAAATTGAAAAACCCAAGTTATATTTATCACCCCGCCGACCGTGGCCAATCCCGCTGTGAGGCTGCCAAAGCACTTCCCGTCTTTCAGCCCTTCAATTCTTAGAAAGGCTTATCTTTTCAGCTAAAATGCGGTGTGCCTGGCATCGGCTCAAAGATAAATTGCTAAGGAAAGTTTGAGTTGAAACTTTAGCCAATGTGAATTTTATTCATAATTGCCAAAACAAAGGATGTCCCACGAATACTAATACCCCACCAACATTCCCCCTCCGTGGCCCCCCTGTTCTATTAATTAAAGACAAAGACAAAATGTCTCTGTATCCCACTAGTCATGACAAATTACCAGCCGCAAACCTGTGCTCTGGAATAATGTCCAAGCACCCGGAAAAGGTGGACTCTGCAGTTCTGGGGCTCATGCATTCCAAGTACAATCCTATAGTCTGGTAATAGAGAGAAGACATACCTGAATGGTGAAGGGGGTGAGTTTCTTTTTGTTGATTGTTCTTTCGTCAATTGTGTCTGGCACTGACAGGTTGATCATTTTACTGAGAAAGAAACAATTAAAGAAAGCTGACTTCCAAATAGCAGAGTCCAGTAATATTGAATTTGAATTCTAGCAATACCATAAGAAAATAAGACAATGAGATTGTCTACGCAATCCAGTGTTTAGATATCAAGTCAGTTATGCAATTTTGACTATATTCACACTATCTATGGGAAAGGTTAATGTTCCTGAAATCAGACGAATATATTGAGGCAGGAAATAAGGACCCCCCACTTCATTCATGTATCTAAAAAGCTGCAAAATCATTCTGGTTTCCTTAGCATCTTAGGAAATTCTGGGTAGAAAGCCAAGGCAAACTCACCAGGAGAACTTTCCTTTCTCAGCTGTGAAAATTGTCCCTAACATATAAATGACCATCTACACCTTTCTGTCTAAATTTCTTTTTTTTTTTTTTTTTTTACAAATAGTTTATTGTCAAATTAGTTTCCACATAACACTCAGTGCTTTCTGTCTAAATTTCTATCGACACCTGGTGGAACACTACACTTTTAACTAAGTGGATGATAAAATGTTTTATACCCTGCTTACTTGCTGTACCCGCTGGTGAATCAGTGCTTGAGAAATTTCACCCAGTGAAGTGTCTACTATATTGATCAGACACCTAAAGTAAGCAGTTATTATTCATGAAAAACTGATTTTACTCATTTAGCTTTCGTTGAACAACTTTGTTGGAGCATAAAAAATAAATTTCCTTAGGTCACTTCCATCTCATTTAAAGAAAGGAAGTCAAAAAATTAAATCCAAAGGAACAACAACAAATTCATAGAATAGTAAACTTGACTGTGGCTATTTGTTTTTAATGAGAAGTCAGCATTTACATTTTTTCCTAATACTTTTTACACAACTACCTTTTTTGTGATGGTCTTTACAGATGTATTCCCATAATTTTGTCACGTGTGTGTGTGTTTGCATATATTTAAATAAAAGATACTTTATTGCAATTCAGGCAAAACCACCCCCTAAATTATTATTTGAAAAATATAAAACTGTTTGTGAGCTAGAAGTCTTGGGAAATGGTGGGAGGGAGGAGTGATTAAGAAAGTATAAGGTAACCCTTCTCTTGAAAATCTTATGGCTCAATTATAGAGACAAAATATATTGATATGAAGTTACATGAGTCCAAAAGAAGAATGTTATGACAGCTTTCAAAGTACTACAAATAATGCTTTAAGAACCCAGTGAAGGAAGAGACCACTGGAAGATTGGAATAGACCAGAAACTGTCATGGTAAATGGATCTCTATAGGAGGAGAGGATAGGGAAGGGCATTTTTCCTTTTTTTTTTTTTTTTTTTCTTTAGAGTCTGTTTATTTTGAGAGAGACAGAGAATGTGAACAGGAAAGGAGCAGAGAGAGAGAGAGAGAATCCCAAGCCGGGATTCTCTGCACTGTCAGTACAGAGCCTGATGTGGGGCTTGATCTCACGAACCACGAGATCATGACCTAAGCCAAAATCAAGAGTCGGATGCTTAACCAACTGAGCCACCAAGGTGCTCCCGAGAAAAGGCATTCTTAAAAAGAAAAATAAAAGGCAAAGCCAGTTTCATTATGAGCAGGACATGTATGGGGAAGAATAAGTATGGTTGCTGATACAATTATTCATGCAGCCACTCACTCAGTGCCTTGCACTGGGTCCCTGCCTGAGTCATAGGTGTCTTAGGAGATAAAGCCAGTAGGAGACTGAGGGAAGATGATAGGGTGCATTGTGGGAAACCTAAGGAATTAGGATTTGATCCTGCCCACATTTTTTATGTCCTTTTTTTTTTGGCAGTTGAAACATTTTTTTAAATTTGTTTTTATTTTTATTTTTTTATTTTTGAGACAGAGAGAGACAGAGCACGAGTCGGGGGAGGGTCAGAGAGAGAGGGAGACACAGAATCTGAAACAGGCTCCAGGCTCTGAGCTGTCAGCACAGAACCCGATGTGGGGCTCGAACTCATGAACCATGAGCTCATGACCTGAGCCGAAGTTGGACGCTTAACCGACTGAGCTACCCAGGCGCCCCTTTTTTAAAATTTTATTTAAATTTTTTTTTTTATTTTTGGCAGTTGAAACTCTTTAAAATGAAATCTAATGGTGAACTCTAATAAATAGAATACCAAAAGCAGAAGTGCTCGGCTCAGAGCAGGGATGAGTTAGTTTTAAATCTTGCCCATCCATCCTTCCCTTCAATTCCTGAGCCCACCTGAGACTGGGTATTTCAAGCCTTTTGAAATACCATGTCTTACAATGGTATTAGAAGCTGCTAAAACAAGAGCTACAGAAGCATTTCAAAGACACCATGAGGACCAAATGTGTGTGGAGACCTTCCGCAAACAGAATACATTCCTCTTTTCCCAGGTGTCCTCAGCATGTGAATTGCCTGTTTGTGTGCACCACTCAAAAGTCTCTGTGTAGGGACTTGCACTGGGTTGCTTCAATCCTCATACTGCTATTATCAATTTATGTACTTTCAGGGTAGGTCATGTTCAGATGAAGCCAAGTGGCATATGTTCCAAAAATAATTGTTTTTGACTTTGTATTCTTGCATGCCCTCTGTGTTTGTTTGTCTCTGTACTATGCATCCCTCTCCTCCAAACAAGCGATAGTAGCTTTACATTTCTCATTATAATTTGCTTTTGAAATTAGTTTGCTTTCTGGGACCTGCCAAGTACAAGTCAGAAAGCATTTCTAGTCCCGCTGAGCACCGGAGGAAGTTGGCCTAGGATAAGCACAATGAATTGTTGGTATTCCAGAAAATTCCAGGAAAACCTTTGGAAACCAAGAAGGAAGTGTTATTTACCAAAGGACAATGCCATCCCCAACGGCATTGAAGAGATCATTTGTGTTTGGATTCATTGGGATGACATGTCGACAGTCGGGGTCATTTTCCAGAGCTTTGTTTATCCAGTTGACAAAGGCATACTTCTCTTCCTCTGCAAGTAAATGATAAAAATGGCTGATTTGCAAAGTGGAATCCGACATAAAATTATACACATGGATCTCAGACTGCCACGCCCAGGAGAGCCACTGAGGTGCTATCTGGTCCCGTAGCCTATCATCTTACATTTATTGACATTAAAAAATCTCAGATGACTTGGAGAATAGAATAGAATTTCTATTCACTCCAAGACATAAAACATAGGGCAAGCTGATTTAAAAGATATATATATATATATATATATATATATATATATATATTCCCAAAATTGTGTGTCACTGAAAACAACAGTGTCCCCCAGAAGAATATATATATATATATAATACTCTATAGAAGATATATATATAATATGTAACATATTAGATATATTTTATTTGTATTTAGATACAATTTAAATATGAATGTGATCTAATGGTTACAGGATAAAACTCAGGCTGCCTTCAGCCCAGCCAATTCAAATGTGAGATGATCACAGATCATCCCTACAAGATCTTTGAGTTTCTTTATATAGTTATAATAAAATGCTATGAAGTAAAATCCTATGTGATATAATCTTTCTTCCTTATCAATAAAGTTGCCAGAAGTTGATTTTGGAAGTTTTTTTTTTTAATGTTTTATTTATTTCTAGGAGAGAGAGAGAGAGACAGCGTGAGCAAGGGAGAGTCAGAGAGAGAGGGAGTCACAGACTGAAACAGGCTCCAGGCTCCGAGGTGGCAGTCAGCACAGAGCCCGACGCGGGGCTCAAACCCACGAACCGCAAGATCATGACCTAAGCGAAAGTCGGACGCTTAACTGACTAAGCCACCCAGGCGCCCCTGATTTTGGAAGTTTTAATAAAACCTAATGTTATGTCTTACAGCCCAGTACGGTGTTTCCCAAATTGTGTGTCACTAAAAACAACAGTGTCCCCCAGAAGAATTCTGAGTCACAAAACTTTGAGTTCTCATTGTCTTGAAGATTCATAATGCATATTTACATAATTTCTGTTTTTAAAAGTAAAAGATTAAACGCTGCCTTCATAATTACAGATGGTACTTAACCATGAATTTATCTTTAAGATCAACCAGTGTGTTAAAGAACTCAGTTTGGGATTTGTTGGATTACTGTGGTGTTTGAACTTTTGGTAGTTTCCATTAGGGCTGTTGGATGGCAGCCTTCAAAATAAATACACAGCTTCCTTCCAAATCAGTAAAAACATAATAATCTTTTTTTTTTTAATTTTTTAATGTTTTATTTATTTCTAGGAGAGAGAGAGAGAGAGAGAGACAGCGTGAGCAGGGGAGGGTCAGAGAGAGAGGGAGTCACAGACTGAAACAGGCTCCAGGCTCTGAGCTGGCAGTCAGCACAGAGCCCGACGCGGGGCTCGAACCCACGAACCGCGAGATCATGACCCAAGCGAAAGTCGGACGCTTAACCGACTAAGCCACCCAGGCGCCCCGTAAAACATAATAATCTTGACCAATCAGTAGGCATTGAGAATAATCATGAAGTTTGGAGAAGATAAAAGCCTGAAAAGTTCATTTTATCCATAAGATTTAGAAAGGAATTCTGGCAGCCTCAATGTATTTTTTAAATGCTGTTGAGATAATTTGGTATTAGACTCTTCCTAGAACCAGGATTGCTCCTCCTACATCATGTCCCTGGAATTAGCCCGCCAACCACAGGAAAACAGCCATAGTCAATACCCTCGTGTTGGCTTCTGTCTTGGTTCACACCCCCGAGGTTTAAGACCAAGTTTAGAATCTGTAGCCCCAGAAGGCACAGATCCTTTCCATATGGCTCCCTCTCCGACTACTCCCCAGTCTCCCCTCACGCAGGCACTCTCCCCAATTCCACTCCCCACCCCGGGGGACAGCATACCTGAATATGAGTGCTGGGTGCCCACGCTGGACTGCTCCGAAGTACCACCAATCGCACAGATGCCTTCCTTCTTATTGATTGCCTTCCTAAAGGTCTTGGCAACATCTGTGCTTTTCAGGCCATGGAAAACCTGCAAAAATGTCATGTATCTTTAGAAATCCAATCTGTGATCAAGAAAACTGCAAAGGGAAGAATATGTAATATTGAAGTGGGAAGGGTGGGAATGCATTTCTGGGTATTTTTCAAATTAAGATTCCAAGTTTCAAAGGCATCTCCTCGTGTTCTGCCTCATACTTACCTTGATAAACTCATCAAAGCTGATCCTCCCATCCTGGTCTAGGTCACCTGTAGCCATGAGGTTTTCTGTAATTTCTCTCACTTTGTACCCAGGCAGAGGCAAGCAAGCAGCCTTGAACAAGTCATTCAATTCATTGCAGCTGATGTACCCATTGCCGTCGGTATCTGCAAGGCAAGAAAGGACCTGAAGTTTCAGGGAAGTTCAGGAAACAGGACGGAGAGGTGGGGGAAGGTGAGATGGGAGGTGAGTGGGCTGGAGAGGCAATCATTCAGGGGTCGCAGCCTGACGCCATGCAAGAATCAGAATCTCACGAGAGGCCCGTTTCTGTTGGAGATGGGCATCAGTGTCACTTCCAACATCCATGGGTCATAACGTCACAATAGAGGTTTTGGCAACAGAATCCAAAGAGACTTTTACAGAAACAGATGGGAAAATAAATCACGAGCTTAGAGATACAAAGAAAAAGTATGAAATAGTAGAAAAACAAAGGAAACCAAAGATATCAGACAAGAATATGAGAAAAGCTGCAGGGTTCAAAGGGTCCATACTCCATGTTTTGATAGAGAAAGAAGTAATTTCTTAAAGTAGATTTTTCAAAATTCAGTTCCCTCAGCTCCTTTAACCAATACCGCCATATTCCTTTCATTTCCACTATTTTGCTCATGTTGCCAGTTCTTTGAATCTGTCCCGAAGCTACTCAGTACAGAACACAATTATGTGACCTGAATTGCAGGTCTACTCACCAACTTTGGCAAAAGCTTCTCTGAGCTCCATCATTTCTTCGTCGGACACTGAGCCTCTGGCCATTTTTATTGCTTTACACAACAGATCTGAGGAAGGAGAAGAACATAAGGAATGACTTCTGTGCTCTCAGATCTTAAAGCACCACAGTGAGCAGCAATTTCCACTTATTAAGTGAAGAAATATCCCTCTGTATCCCTCGTGATTTATACAGAGCTTCCCGATATGTAAGAAATAACCTTATTCATAACCCTCCATGTGGTCTCCAGTTGGCCCTCACCACTTCTCCTCTCCCTGTGTATACAGACTTTTCCTCACATCATGAAGTGGAGTTGATTTCCCTCCCCTTGAATCTGGGCTGATCCTGTGTCAGCTTTGACCATTGAGAAGGCAGCAGGAGCCATGTCTGGGACTGGAAACTTCTGGCTCCTTCCTTTGGGAATGCTCATTGTTAGGATGTTCCCTCTTGGAAACCAAGTGCCATGCTATGAGATGTCCAAACCACATGAATAAGAAGCCAATGCAGAACTGGGCACTCTGCCTAGGGTCCCAGCTGACAGCCAGCATCAACCACCAGGCACCACAGTAGGCCACTTGGGACCTTCCAGCTAATTGGAGACCCTGGATGTCCACAGTCCCTGTCAAATCACACGAAGCAGAAAAACCAACCAGCTGTGTCCAATCAATGAACAGAATCGAGAGATATGGTAAAATGACTGTTGTTGTAAATCACTAAGTCTTGGAGTAGTGCGCCACATGGTAATGTACAACTATAACACTTAAGTTTTACATAAATACCTTTTTTAGAGAGGATGTCATGCTTGCATTTATAATTAATGTTAGGCCAAGCCAATAGGTAACTTTTATAACTTCAAAGGGAGTTTCCAAAGTTCTCTCAGTATTTAGGGAAAGAGGAAGGGAACCTGACCCTCTAATAATTCATACATGGGAATCTCGGGGACTTACTAGGTATTTGAAACTTAAATTCTAGTGCTGGAGTTAATTTCCCCTTCCCTGTGCTTTATTGCTGCCCTCTTGTGGGCAAAAAGAGAATGAAACAGAAAACAGATTATATTCTCCATGTCCTTGGCTAATCCACACCAGAATATTTCAAACGGCAGTTCCGCTAACGTTTACTGGATTTCCTGGCAGTGAAGGGATGAGCAGGGAAGGAGCACAGATGATGGGGCATTTTTACATGTAATTATAATTTGAACATTTTAGTGAAGTTACTGATTTTTACAAATATTTTACATGCCAGGGTGGCTTGGTCGGTTAGGCCTCGGACTCATGATTTCAGCTCAGGTCATGATCTCATGGTTCATGAGATCGAGTCCCACATGGGGCTCTGCCACTGAAGAATGTGAAGCCAGCTAGCTATTCTCTGTCTCCCTTTCTCTCTGCCCCTGCCCTTCTCGCTCACTCTCTCTCTCTCTCAAAAATAAACATTTAAAAAACATATTTTATATTTGTTACAGGATATTACTTTAATGCATTTCCTTTTCTATGTTTTCACAGCATTTTATAGTGCTATACTTGCTCTTACTGCCAATCAACCAACAATCACATAAAATAGGGAACGGTTTTAACACTTAAATCTATAGGCCAAAAGTGCCTCATGCTCCATTTGGCAAATCCTCTGCCATTATCCACCAACTTACTATTTAGTTATGTACACATATCAGTGGTTTCAAACTTTGGTTTTCCCCCAAATCCTTTGTTAACAGAAGCTTTACATGTAGATTGAAGTGAACAAGTCAAAATAACAACGCTGAGAGGTGTTGGGTGAAAAAATCCAAATGTTTCCCTGTCTCCACCATCCCACTTCCTCTGACCTTATGTACCAGTAGGAACTCCAGGGAGAATGATTGAAAGTCATAGACTCAGGGGCGCCTGGGTGGCTCAGTTGGTCAAGCATCTGACTTGGGCTCAGGTCATGATCTCTTGGTCCATGAGTTCAAGCCCTGCTTTAGGCTCTGTGCTGACAGCTCAGAGCCTGGAGCCTGCTTCAGATTCTGTGTCTCCTCTCTCACTGCCCCTCCCCTGCTTGTGTGCACTCTCTCTCTCTCTTAAAATTAAATAATCATTAAAAAAAAGAAAGTCATAGAATTAGATACTGTTGTTATTTCAATTCCTCTAAAATATGGTTTATTATGAATAATTTTATTAGTTACCTCATGCATCTACAAATGTTCACTGGGTTCTCTGAAGGAAGGTAAAACCACGTAGAACTTAACTATAAAGCAAACACGTACACAGCACAATAACCCTCAGGGACGGCCAATGGCTATCCGACTTTCTTGCCTTCTTCACTCCTTTCCTTTCTTTCTCTGCCTCTCGCTGTCTCCCTCCCTTTTTGCTTTTTTCTTCCTTTCCTTCCATCCCTCGTCCTTTCTTCCTTCCATCCATCCTTCCTTCCTCCCTCGCCAAGCCTTGTTCCAAAACCAATTTAAGCCAGGCTACAAAGTTACACCCAAGCGGAAGAATTAAATGAATAAAATCACGTAATAGTTAAGGAGGAGGGGCAAGCATAGGTAAGACAAGATAATGGCAGAGGAGCTTCAATCTTTCCACAGTGAAGACCGCACATTTGCTAGAAGCAGGCTGAAAATCTAGTTCCAAGTTCTCTAGAAGTGAATGCAAAAAGGGAAATCTCATCAGTCACATACTTCATTCTATCTATAAGAGCCAAAGAAGCCATTTTTTTTTTTTTAGGACCACAGAACTGAGGTCTGACAGTAATACCTCACCCAGGAGAGAATACTTATGAGATACAGTAAACACACGCTCTGTGTTTATTTTAATGTCCCTCAGTGAAATCTGATGGCAAAAATATATACATTCCCATTTTGTAGAACAGGAAACAGAAGCTCAGAGAAGTTAGAACACATATCTGAGATCACACAGCCAGGGAGAGGAGCAGGCAGGATTCCAATTCTCAGTCTTTTCTCTTCCCTCATTCTGTCTATTCAGGTTCAATGCTTTCCCACTTCTGTTAGATGTTCATTTTGTCCACCCATACGCTCACTCAGCAATGATTTATTAACCATCTCATACATACACTCCATGGGAGATTAAAAAAAACCATAACACAGAAAGCCTATCTAGTATGCCTAGTTTAGGAAGGTTTTGCTTTCATGTGTTAAGAAAGCAATGCCTCTGTGCTAAGAAATTAGTACATAAATTTGTACCCTTTACTAAATCCTTGTGACTAATTTGGCCTGGCTTTCCTTTATGCCTTTACAAATATTCCATATATACCTTGAGGGAAGGCTCTCCTCCATCACATTTTCACAAGATCTTTGATAAAACCAAAAAGGGCCTTTAGACCTAGAGCTGGCTGGCCTTTCTTGTTCTTAAGCGTCTTAACATTTCCTGGTTCATGGGTGTTCATGGGGCTATGAGATAAATCCATTCATTTACCAATATTTTCCAAATGCCTGCCACAAGCCACGTGCTGTTCCTCATTTCAGGTGAGGCAGGTCTACACTGCCCTACTTACCCTAAAAGCAGGGAACAATGTTAAAGGTAAGAAGCACGAATGGGATCTCTGAGTCTAAACTTAACTCTATCCTTTGACATGAGAGTTTCAGACTGTTGAGCACTGTAAGGGGCTAGTGAGAAACACAAATAAAGGCAAAAATGAGACTACATTTTAAGGGTCAAGAGCAGGGCGAAAGGAGAAACAAAAGAGTTACTGTATGAGTATGAGATGAGATGAGAAAGAAAATCTAAAGACCATGGCGCAATGGAAAAGTTGAGAAAATGAATGGCATGGCCCTTTCAAATTGAAGATCGAGAAGCGGTGAGGGAAGCATGATTTTAAAACCATGTGATTTTTAAACCACTGCAAGTAGGTCAAGATGAAAACCCTGGGCATCTGGATAACTGTATTTTTTAAGAGATTTATAAAATGGGGAAGATCAACTTAGAGAAGCCATATAGTGAGACAGACCTCACATTTTAAAATTCCAAAATTCTTGAGTGATTTAAGAGCTAAAGGAAAATTCATTGAAAAGGTGAATTGGAGAAGGAACAGTCAACAGCCCAAGTTACTGTGAGGCTGTGTTGTATGGGGGCCCACACATGAATATGTACCTGGAGAGGGTCTCTTTTACTATCAGAATGAGCCGTAAGTCCTGAAAACACAAGTCAATTTGAGAACACAATTAAGAAATAATTTATTACAACTCTGTCATTCTCTAGGCCAGAAAACTAACATTTCAATGAGATTAAATGCTTTGTCTACGTACAAGTTCTCAAAGCAAGGCTAGAGTTCTAAATGCAGTTGCTGGTGAGCCGGGCAGGAAAAGGGTGGACGGAACATTAACAGGGCTATTAAGGTCCATAAGTGAGAAGAGACCCTTTAACTAATTGCACCGAACGTGCAAATGGCAGCATTTTCACAAAGCAGAGAAGCGGGAAGAGGAGGTAATTAAAAGCATGCAGATCAGACCATTTCTAAGAAGGATATTGCTGGGGTTAGATTCAAATATTAGGTACTTTACACAGTCTATTAATGTGTTTGCCTGGAAAAAATATCCCCAGTGCATGAACATCTGTATTAATGTTAGTCGGATTCATAAGGATAGTACGTCAGGGTTTCAGCTGGCACCGGGTCACTGCAGTAATGAGATGTGCTGAGCCATTTGGAGCCTGAAACGAGTGTTTGAGGAAAACGTGTTCCTTCCAGCTTCCACTCCACTGCTCCCGCATTAAGAGAGCCCCCCCCTCCCCGTTTTGTTTTTTCAAATTTTATTGGGAAATACCTGACATACATCACTATGTGAGTTTAAGGTGCACGGCATGATGGTTTGATTGACATGTGATCAGAATAGGTTCAGCTATCATCCATTTCCTCATACAGATACAATAAAAAGAAAGAGTGGCGTTTGGGGGGCTCAGTCAGTTAAGCGTCCGACTTCAGCTCAGGTCATGATCTCACGGTTCATGGGTTCGAGCCCCGTGTCAGGCTCTGTGCTGACAGCTTGGAGCCTGGAGCCTGCTTCAGATTCTATGTCTCCTTCTCTCTTTTTCCTCTCTCCCACTCATGCTCGCTCTCTCTCTCTCTCTCTCTCAAAAATAAATA